CGGGAATGCGGGGAGCGACTCCCGCCCGGCCCGGGGCCCTTCCTGCCTTCTGTCCTTGCCCTGGAAGAGGCAAGAGGGACGGGCAGGGATCCCCGCACCGCGGCGAGGCCGCTGCAGAGCGTCCCGGGGCCAGCCTTCCTCGAAACACCTCGGCACGGAAGGCAGAAAGAAGAGCAAGAGCACGTAAAAATTTCCCCCTTCTCCAGCCGGTGGAAATCAGTGTTCTGATGTCTCTGCTGGCTCTCAGGCTTTATTTAGGGCCCCCAAATTCTTGTCCTGTTTGCTACAGGCTTGGGAAACAGCACAAGCCCTTCCCAGCACTCTTCACACCCTGATGAATCTCCTCATCTCCTCCCTTGTCCCACATCCCCACATCCTACCTCTGAGTGGTCCTGCTTTGATTAAGCCAAACGAATTTTGCCACATTCCTCGAGAGCTGAAACTGGACCAATTTGTCAGCCTTTTATCCCCTCTGTGATAATTACAGGAACAGCTAATGATGCCTCATATAAATGCTCACAGCCACCTCATTGTTTACATGGAAATGCTCCACTTTAGTTATTTTTCCACAAGTGCTGTCCCACAGCAGAGCATTACCTGGCAAAACACAGGGGAAAATATTTTCCTCCTGCAGAAAACAGCTCTAAAACCACTAGAAAACACTGCCTAGAGAAAACCTAGTACAAGGGCTTGCTCTCTCCAGAGCTGCAGTAAATGCCCTCTGAGCAGGTGCCTTGCTGACAACACTTGTTTACCCCAACTTGGTTTTTAATCCTGGGGCCACTTGACCAGTCTAAAGGAGAACAGGATCCTCCCTCAAGGAGCCCTTTGGCCCTCAGTTCTGAAATGCTCCTCATGCGTGCTGCCTGTGCTGGAGCCACGTGCGTTTTACTGCTTTGTGTAGGATGAGTTCCTTACTCATAAGCAGGGAAGGGACAGCCTGGACTCCATTCAAACTTTGGGCCATGCCACATTATGCCAGAGTCTTGTTTTTGTCACCAGCTGTGCCACCAGCCCCTCTGTCAGCCTTCAGCTGTACTTCAGTAAGGAGACCTCATGACAACAATAACAGTTTTGCAACAATTTATTAGCAATGTTCAGAGAAAATACAAAATCCTATTTACAACAAAACCATAAGAATGGCCGGACAGAAGGAGCAGGGGGTACAGAGCCAGGGCCAGGTGACACAGACCTCAGATAAAGGACACGGAGGAGAGAAGCAGCCTGGCACAGATGGTCACAGAATCATAGAATCTCATGTTCCTCATGTCAGGGAACCCAGGAGGAACCTGCCCAGAGCTGTATCCCTCCCCTAACCATGCGTTGCTCAGCCTCATGAGGGCTTCCACCTCTCTGGCTCACTGCTTCAGTCCAAGAGCTTTCGGTAGGTCTGGCCTGGGTGGACTGCAAGCCGTGGGGTCAGCACTAAGAGGGACAAGGAGACATGCAGGAAGGGAGCCCCGTGGAGTGGCCTGGGAGGGCAGTGTGCCACCCCCACTCCCGTGGCCCCGGCAGAGCGGGTGCCATGCAAGCTGTGCCCACGCAGGAGCAGAAAGCCACGACGCAGCAGCAGAGCTACCCCAGCCCAGGAGGAAAAAGAGCAAGAGATCCAGAGTGGGCTCAGATCCATGTTCTCCCCCCAGCTCCCCCCAGGCTATACAGGGCCAGCCTGGAGGAGTCCCAGTACAGAAAGGAGAGCTGCAGAGCTCTGGTCTGGATTGGCCTCCAGAGGAGGAGTCTTAGGGCTATTTCAGAATCAAAACTCATCACATAACTCCACACTCCCCCCTCAAAAGCTGGAAAGCAGCAACACCTACAAATCCCTTTGCTGTGAGCAAAAAACAACGCTGCACAGCCAGTCTGCTAAGATATTTCTGAAGTGCCTGCATAGGTCTGAGCCAAAAAATTCACTCTTTAAACTCCTATTTCATAAACTTTTAGGGCGCTTCCCATGCTGTCCTCTCTCCCAGTTCTGCCTGCTCAGCAATTTTCTGCAACGCACTGCAGGAATCAGTGGGTCATGAACTTGATGCTGTCATCACCTAATAGTCTTTATCCCTCAAAAGGTTTTGAGTTTTTGTTTGGTTGGGGTTTTTGCAGGGAGGAGGGTACGGTGGAAAGCATCAGCTGTGCCCCTGTGCGGTCCAGGACAAGGGCAGCGCAGCCACGGAGGGGCTGAAGCATTCTTGCTCTCTGCACAGTAACTTTCCTCTGCCCAGCTCGGGGCACCGAACACGTGTGGCAGGAGGATGCAACATGTGAAGGGTAAAAGCCAGGGCAGGGGCAGGGGAGGAACGTGCGGCACGGAGCGTTTTGGCATCGCCCCTCTCCAGGCCTGGGGGCTGCTGGAGGCAGCGGTGACGCACGCCCTGGCATTCCCAGGCAGATTGGAGATAGGGGCTTCTATCAGCAGCAAGGATCGCTTTTTAAATAAGAGCAAAAGGCCTCTTATCTCCACCTGGAGCTTTACAGTTAGAAATTAGCCAATTAATCCCCAAACTGGGGAATGTGAGCGAGGGGAAGATGGAAAGTTACCCGAGCACTCAGAGGCATCCAGTGCTCTCGCTGACATCCCCATCTGGGGGAACAAAGCTGGGAAGGGGGCTGGGAAAGAGGTGACAGTGGTGTTCACTACAACGTGGTGCCCAACAGGCATCCACCCTGGCCTCAGACTCTGGGCAGTAAACACTTAGGACCATTAGTCTTGGGCAAGCAAGACAATTTTGTGAAGGCATCGAGCCTTATGGTTGGGCACAGGAGCTCAGCCACACATTTCCCACATCGAGAGGTGCCTGGCCTTGCACAGGCTCTTTCATCTCTCCTCCACCATTCTCTGCCAATAACCATCAGGGAGGGATCACAGCCACACTTCAGAGAGAACTGGCATGTATCCCATTGGGTGGGGAGGTGAGCCCCCAGCTGATGGTCCTGCTGCCCCACCCTGGAAAGGAAAGCAAGACCCTACTCAGCCCCATGGCCAAAGGCAAAGGATGCACAAGGATTCTTCCTGCAGAGGCATCAAGGATGTCCTCAAAGAGGCCACAGATCATGAACAGCAGGTTCCCTTGTGCCTGGAGGACTGGTTGCTGGGACACCCAGACTATGTGATCCCATGCTCTGCTCTGTCAGCCTCTCTGCAGAGGCCACAGGGCTCTAGGTGAATGCAGGAAAGAAATGGGGACGCAAGGATTTCCCTAAGCTTTTTGCTCTGTTCAGCTGATTTTCTCACCAGAATCCTAGGAAAATTCCTTACTCTCCTACCCTTACTGTTACCTTCCCTCTGCAGAGCTGTTCTCAGCACTTCAAAGTCCCCTGATGTGCAGGACTCGGGTGGCTCTGACAGCCTCTGGGGAAAAGATCTTGGTCTCATGCCTCCCAGTCTCTGATCTGGTTTGATCTCAGTAGGAGTGGAGGGAACAGAAGAGACAACACTGAAGCCCTGCTTTGCTTTCTGGGTCACAAAGGCCTAACAGCATATATACAAGCTGCAGAAGGAACCCAGGGACTTTGCTCAGCTGATTGAATGGAGCCTGCTAGTGGGCCAGAAGGGTGGGGGGTTTGTTTGATTGGTTTCTAAACCTCTTTTCCTCTTCTTTTAATATTTTTTTAAAACACTTGCATCTCGCCAGCAATGAGAAGACACTGCCTTGCTGCACTCACTCCTGGCTGGAGCCAAAGAACTGCAGGAAGAAGGAGAAGATGTAGATGATGTCCAGGTAGATGTTGAGGGCTCCAAAGATGTATTCCTCTGGGCTCAGCGAGTACCGACGATTCCCCATCAGCATCTGGGTGTCAAGTGCCAGGAACTGTGAGGCAAGAGGAGGAAACCCAACGACAGTCACATGGAGAAGTGAACAGAGGGAGGCAAGTTGTGCTCTAATGACAGGAGTTCTCCCAGTTGCTTCACTATACCCAGAACAAAAATGCAGCCACTTTTTATGGGCTGTAACTACAGTTTAAAAGCACTGAACAATGCACTGAACAAGGCACTGAACAATGCACTGAACAATGCACTGAACAATGCACTGAACAAGCTGCTGCTTTCCCCTTCCTTCATCTCACTCTGGATAGTCAAACTCTGAGCCTAATTGTTACTCCAGGCCCGCTTCCTTCATGCTTTTCTCCAAGGTTCCCCTTTGCTTCATCTATCCCAAATCTGTCCCAGGATCAGCTCTGGAGCAGTTCCCCCTGTTCCTCCCCAACTAGTCCCTGTGACCTCTTATTCCCAAGCTTCCCCCACTTCAGGAACACCCGTTAGGTAACAAGGTGACCTGGACCCAGTGTGACATTGCAGCAGCAGCAGCACCAAAGCAGTAAAGAGCAAGAAACCCCAGATCCTGGGCTGCGCCAAGGTCTGCAGAGCTGCCAGCAGAGGAGCCCAGACCCAGAGCAGAGCTCACACCTCTCAGAGGTACAAACACAACTGAGTGCCAGGCAGATTTGCCCAGTGAAGCCAGCACAGTGGGCATCCAGTGCCCAGCCTGCCTGCAGGACACGGCACTCGCAGGAACAAACACGGGCTGCAAGGTGGGCTGCTGGCCCAGCTGCAAGGAAACCTGCACCTTCTTGCATGACTGCGGGCTCGGTATCTTCTCCATCTGACCTCTACTCCCTCTGTTAACCTGGCTCATGACAGGCATCTTGTCATGGAGCTCTTCAGGGTTGCCAGGGCAGCTTTGCCATCGCCTGGGGTCAGCTGACACTTCTGCCCTCCCTGGCTGTAAATAACAACTGATCTCCCCAGACAGAGCCAAGCAGAGCTGACAAGCCCAGCACAATAGACTCTACCAGCTGAGGTTCTGACTGGAGTTTATGGAGTAATTACATTTAGCCAACTCATATTTACAGAACGGTCTTTAACCGTGAATCACAGAAGAAATATCCAAGCTCACTTGAAGTGACTTTTGCAGCTAATAAAAGAACAGTTGAGCAATATCACATTCACAACATCCCCAACGGGCACCGCCTTGAACCCCAAGGCAGCCTCCTCCTGACCCCCACCTCGAGGCAATGCCAGTGCCAAGCATCTTCCCTGACAACTCCCACACGGCCACGGCAAGCATGGCACTGCCAGGGCTTGCTCTGGGAAGTCAAAGGGGTGAATCGAGCCTTTCCCCTTTCCTTGGAAGGGCTGCCCAGCTTCAGGGCTTCTCCTGCTGCAGTGAACTTTCCCAATACCCCTGAACCCCGAGCCACAGCCTCTCACTGACATTCTGCACCTGTTTCCTGGTAGGCTCATGCCCAACCCTCGCTCCCACTCAAAGAGCCTCACCTTGACTTCACTCACTTCTTGCAGCCTCATTTCATCCCCAGGCTCCTCCTGAGCCCTGCAGTCCAGCTCCCACTGCTGTCCTGAAGCTTCACCTCTGCTTCTCCCACTCCAGAGATGCTGTTTTGCCCTGTCCCTACAACACTTTCTGCTGTCCACACCTAGTCCTGCACGCAGGAGGTGAGTTTGGCAGCCACGCTCAGCACTGGCACGTACACCAACACCTTCGTGGGACGAGGCTGAGGTCACTGCAATAATTGCTGTTCATGAGCCATTTGAGGATGTGGAGCTCCCTGCAATCCTGCAGCTCGCTCTTCTCCCTTCCCCAAGCACCCTTCAAGACTAATAACATTTACTCCTCACTCGTTTCTCCTGCCAGCACATTGCCAGGCCCATGACCAGCACCCACTTACCATGGTGAAGATGATGGCACCAAGCAGAGCATAGATTGCATGGAGCCAGGGGACCTAAAAGGAAGAAAACCATCAGTCAGTGCCAGGGAGAAAACTGGTTCATTAGGACTTGACAGAGATGAGGACTTAGCTCTCCTGTGAGAATCACAGAACCCTTTCAGTTGGAAAAGACCTTGAAGAACATGGAGCCCAACCACTGACGTAACACTGCCATGCTTCAGCACTATCCTGGTGGAAACACGTTTGCAGAAGCCCTAGAAGGTGTTTATTTACCCAGGCAAGGCTGATCCCACTGGAAGAAACACCAAATGCTTCCTAGAGCCAGAGGCAGCTTGAACTAACAGGCGTAACTTAAACGTGTTCATCTGCTGGAGTCCCAGCAGGAAATCCAGTGGAATGGAGTCCAAGCCCCTGCTCGCTGCGGCACGGGAGCACCCGTGGAGAAGCTGCCTGTGCTCAGGGGAAGGTGCCCACACAGCCTGTCTCCCCAGACAGACAAGCTCATTACAAGGCTGCCTCAAGCTATGCTTATCTTGACAAGCTGCAAGATAAAGCAGAGTTGCCTCAGCAGTCTGATGGCAGCAGCTCAGCACTGGAGCTGGTTCACCCTCACGTCTGCACAGAGGAGAGGTGCATTTCAAGCCAGGACAACCAAAATCCAAGCTCCTGGTTTTGGAAACCCCAGCCTGTGTTTTTGTCCATCTGCCCAGCTCCAGGACTAGTAGCAATGGGAGGGTCTCCTGCAGGTCTGGCCTTAAAGTGTCACCGGGGTCCCCAGAGAAGCCAGGCGAGATGTGAAGGGCTTGGAGGGCACTCGAAGGTGGCCGTGGCCAAAGCTGGGTGCCTCTGCCTTCAGCATTCATTCAGGCAAGCATTCGGGGTGGTTAGTGGGAGCTGCACAGCCCCACACACCTTCCCTCTTTCAACAGCACCTTCCAAGGTCTGTCAGGCTCTTGCCTGACTGATGACTTGCCTAATGAGACACTCTTGGATGGACACCAGACACTTCATGCTGCCACGCCAAACCCTCTGTCAGGTGTGGTCACAAGCTGCTCCAAGAGGTCAGAGGGCACAGCCAGAGCCAGCTGGGACCAGCGAGGCCAGAGGAAGGGGCTGGACCAATGCAAGAGTGGCTGGCAGCAGCTGGAGGAGCAACAAGGTGGTCACTTATCATCAGGACTTGTCCCTGGGGTCTGAGTAACCCTCCAGAGGTGCTTATTTCTGAGAAACTTGAGCCCCAGGATGTACCCACGGCAGGCCAGTGCCTGGTGTTAGTGTGAATACAGGCAGGTCTGGCCAGCCAGGCAGCCCACTGGGCTCTCACAGAGGCCAAATCCTGCCTTGAGACCAGGGCAAGAGCCCTGCGTGGGACAGGCCAGTGCTGTAGCGTGCTCACTACCCTGGTTTTACTGGAGGGGAAACTGAGGCACAAGCAGGGGACATGACCTGCCATGGGGTCACTACACAGCTCCAGGAACAGGAGCAAACTTCCTCCAGCCCCAGGCCAGTGCTGTCCTACAACCTGATATCTGATTGTACAACACGGAGGCAGCAGCTCCCTGGCCTTGCCTTTTCTTTCTGTTGGCTGTTTCTGCCCATTTTTGGGGAGCAGGCTGGGACCCCCCCTCGAGCCAAGCCCTGGCACCTGCCCACCTTAGGCTGCTCAGCTCCCAGCCGGGACCAGGGCTGGTGCCAGTGGGCGAGGAAGGAGGGGCACAGGTCCTTACTCACATATTGGTAGGGCAGGATCACGGCCAGGATGATGCCACCAAAGAAAAGCACCATGAGCATCACGAAGAGGACGCCCTGGTAGGAGGTGAAGTCGAACTGTGGGGGGAAGGAACATCACCTTAGAGAGCAGAGCACTGAAGAGGAGGCAGTGAGGGGAACCAACCCCCTCCCCGTGCCCGCAGGGAGGGGCTCTCCAGCAGCACACCCATCTCCCTGTCACATGGCAATTGCTTCATCTGCATCTCTGGGCTGCAGCCCAACACCCGTCTGTACAGCACCAGAGCCAAACACTTCCTCCTCTCTTGCCAGGGGCGAGAACTCGGCACCCATCACATTCCTGAAACCCAAAAGCCCATCACACACGTTTGTGCCAGTGCCCTCCTGGACCCCGCAGCCCCGTCCTCCACACCACCCAGCTCACCCCACACACCCATCCCCACCTACAGCCCGGACACCTCCCTCACCCCAGCGTCTGTCCTCAGCTTCCCAAAACCTTCCCATCACATCCCAGCGTCCTCCAGGCTGCTCCTGCCCTGCCCAGCACTGCCTGCCCCGGGGTGCTGCCCCGGGAGGTGCCCGGCTCGGCAGCCTCACCTTGCTCTGGAAGCTGAAGATGGTGACAGAGAGGCACACCAGGGCCGTGATCCCCAGGCACAGGAGGACAGACTTGGTGTTGTAGTAACTGCAACGTTAACAGCAAAACCACTTTTCAGGGATTGCCCCGGGACAGGCAGGAGGAGGGACTGGGACAGGCAGAAGCTTGGCAAAGGTGTGCAAGGAGAGCGTGAGACCTAGGGCCACAAACAGCACTGAAATTATCCATGTCACCCCTTGATGGAAGAAGGAAAGGATAGGAAACACCCAAAAAAGCACTAGATGGGTATTCCTCCTGTTTCAACTAGCAGGGGGCAGGCAGGAGGGCACGTCCCTGCCCCCCGGAGCTCGGGAGTGGCCAAGATGGGGACTCACTATAAAAATCTGTCTGCCCATGGACAGATGGAGAAGGGGAGGATTCAAACTGGGAGATAATAAAAATAGAACAACAAATGTCATGGCAGCACAATGAGAAATCAGAAAGCTGCAGCCACTGTTCTGCTACAGCTGTGCTCCTAACAGGGGTTTGGGTCTCAGAAAAGCACAGGAAGGAGGCTGTGAGCAGGCAGAGTCCGCAGGCTGTTATCGGGTTTGGGGGTATACCTGGCTACTGATTTCGGGTACAGCCCTAAGAAAAGCCAACCCCCTCCTCCCCTGGGCTCGACTGGAGGGTGACCTCACTGGTATTTTCCCTGTGCTGCTGAAGCTGCTGCTTTCTTTGTCCCCTGCATGCATCCATCAACACCCACTGGGCTCATCTGCCTCATCACCAGGGACCCACGTGAACCAGGGCTGGTCTTGTGAGCAGATCATAGCAGGAAAAACACACACAAAAGGGAGCAAGCTGTAGACTACAAAAAAAACCTGAAACTGCTGGAAAAAAACTCCTTGTCTCCCTCCAGCTAGAGTGCTGCTTGGTGGGAACGGTGTGACCCCAGCGTGTGGCAGTCCCCTCCAGCCCACCCAGGCAGGGCACCCCCCCCGGCGGGGGTCGCCCCTGCCCCTGGCCCTCCAGGCCTCTCCTGTAGGGTTCAGCATAGCCAGGAACCACCCCGTGCTGCCTCCACTGTGGTGGAGAAGGGGATGCCACCATGGGCCTTGGAGAGCTGCTTTAACAAGTATGCTCAAAAGGGAAGGACAGGCTTTGTGTGGCTGCTGGAACAGCTCCAAAGAGATCAGATTTTTTTTTCAGAAGGAGACAGTACATGGGAGCAGAAGACCCCCAGAGACCCCACGCTCACCCTACCTGGAGAGCATCCCAGTGAGATAAGCCATGGAGAGTGTCTGGGAGGGAAATTTAAGAGAACCACATTACTTCTGCATTCATGTCCCAGGGAGAGGCACGCAACAGATAAAACGTTTCAATTACAGTGATAAGGGCAGTGAAACCTCTTAAACAGATGCTCAAGGGAAGCAATTTTTGCATAGTTTCTAATCCTCCAGTGATTAATATCCACAGGGCAGGTTAAGATCAGGGCAGGCCACCACCCTGAGAGCAACGTCACCTCCTCCATCCTTCTACCCATCTTGCAGGACTCCAGCACCCTGCCCCACTCCCACCGACCCACCAGCCTTTACAGGCATTTGATTTTTTCATTTAAACAGAGGCTCCCTCCTCTCCTGCCTCTCACACTTCAGCTCAGTCACAGCTCCTCAGGCCAAGTGCAGGGCAATCAGAGGATGAAATTCCTGCTTTCTGCAGAAATCCAGCCCAGACATCTCCCCTGCTTGGAGAAACCCACGTGAGTGGCAGGAGCAAGGCAGATGCTGCCCAGATGTGCTACTTACAAAGATGCTCAGCAGGATCAGGTTCCATGGGAAATACCTCCTGGCAGTGAAGAAAGAGGAGCTGGTGAGCTGCAGCACGCAGGGAGCTGGCAGAGCTGCACAAGGTGCTGCCTAAGCTGTGCCACACAGCTAATGGTCTGAGAGCACCCTCGGGATGCTCCTGGGCCAGGGGGGCAGATGTCCCCGTGGTGCTCCAGCAGAGCAGCCAGCAGTGCCCCGCTCCACGGACAGCAAAGGGAGCAGCACAGAGCAAAGGGGTTTACCTGGGTCCGGAGCAGCAAGCAAGAATCAAGTAGGTCACAAAGAAAACAGCACTGCAAAGGAGAGAGGAGCAGTTCAGGGAGAGGAACCCAAGCGTTGTGTGCTGGTGCAGGAGAGAGCTCCCCAGCTGAGAGGCTCCAGCAGCCCCATCCCAGAGGCTGGGGGAAGCGGGGCAGTTACCACCTCCCACTGGAGCCTTTCTCTGCCCATCCTATGCCAGTCCAAGGTGGGACATCACAAACATCCCTGCAAAACCTGGAGGAGGGTTTCAGAGCAGAGCAAGGGTGGCCTTCGGGTCCAGGACAGATGGAGCACCCAAAGGTGTTTGTTGCTGACACCTCATCAGTGCACAGAATGCTCCTGCTGAGGTGACTGGACTTTGTCCCTCACTTCCAGGCACTCCCTGGCTTGGTGGGATCCAGGCATCCTGCTGGGATTCCAGCAGCACTTAAACCAAGCTGGACAGGGCTCCTAGAAGTGACTTGCCTAAGGCCAGGCAGGTCTGTGTGGGAGAAGGGAACTGGTCCCATGTTACTGCGCTTGAGGAGAAGTTCAGCAGCAGAAGGACTCTCTGAGGTCAGTGACACTTGCAGGCCAAGCCTCCCGTGCTGCTGCACAACCCACCCTCAGGTCACAGGGGAGTTATTTATCACATAACTTGACCCTTCAGCAAAGCAAAAACACCACAGCAGCTGAGGGAGGGTCTGGCCCTGCCCTGGACACCCCGCAGCCCAGGGTGTCTCCAGCGAGCTGCTGGGTGCTGGCACAGCAGGAACCTGCTCCCAGCCAGCCCAGGGCAGGTGCCAAGGGCTCTCCAGGCAAACACCAGAGATAAACCCGGGCAGTGCTGTCCCCCAGGGAACAGGGGAGCTGGGGAGGACACGGCCGAGGAGGAGGAGAGCAGGCACTCAGGGAGCCAGGGGCCACTGCAGTGTCCACCCCTGTGTGTCCCCTGCTGCACTTCTGCTCTCGCCCTGCTCCCCCTGAGCCACTGCTCCAGCAGCAGGAAAACTCCCCAGAGCACCCACTTCTATTCTAGAGGTGTTTCCTGCCTCGGGGGCTCTGTACAAAGGAGCTCCAGAGCCAGGTGAGGACAAGCAATTGGAGACACCAGCACTGAGGGAAGGGCTGGCTTGCTGCGAGGTGAAGGGACAGACAAGGTCCAGCCCCTCAAGTGGAGAGCCTACCCCCAGCTGGCCCAAGGTGTGTTTGCTCCTGCTGAGAGACAGGAACAAACAAACACTAACTGGCCAGTCAGCTGCAGGAGGTGAACCCACAGGTCAGAGGATGGACCTGAGCAGAGCTTGGTCCTGTCTCCCTGCAAGGCCACGCTGCTTCTCCAGCCCCCCGACCGGCCGAGGAGGAGCACATTGTTTTCTCTTCAGGTCAAGGAGGCATGCTGCTGCCAGCTCCCTTCTATTACTGCTATTTTGGGCCTTTTTTATAAGTTATGTAAGCTGGTGTCTCATCTCCGGGCCTGGACACATTTCATGATTTGGGTGTGAACTAATTAAAGCCAAGTTCAGGGCACCTCGTTCACAGACAATTGCATCTCACACTCCGCCTGCTTAACGAGCAGCACTAACACCAGCGGCATCCAGGAAACCAGCAGAGGTGCCAGCGGGTGGGAGTGCAGCTCACACCCCTCCCAGCTGACCTCTTGGACCAGGCTGGGCTCCTGAAGGGCAGCACAGGCACCGAGAGCAGCTCCGTGGCCAGGCCCAGGCACGACAGCCCTGCTCAGCCATGGCCAGAAACATCCCACCCTCCTCACTGCCTGCACCCTTCCCCTCCGCTGCGTGCACGTGGTGCAAGCCCAGGCAACCTCTTTGCTTTCAAAGGGGCCATCCCCAGACCAAGCCTCTGAGGTACCCTGGTCACCCTTTTCATGTCTCAGTCTGGGTTTCTGCTGTTCTCCTGGAAGCTCCTCAGTCTCACTGGGCTTGCCCTGCAGCCAGTACTCCTGTATCTGCTTTGACCATGGTTTGTAGATCCCACTCTTTGGAAGTTATCCAACATCTCCCATGTCTCATACTCATTGAGGTGAGATTTTTCTCCCTTCTCTCCTCACACTTATCCATTAATTTCCCCAGCTCCCCCTGCACACATATTGGAGCAACTCTTCACATGTGAGATACAGAAGTGCTTGGGAAGTGTCTCCACATCACCACAGAGCTGCCTGGAGCACACACCAGCATAGCAGAGCTCAGAGATACTCACTAGGAAGCCCAGTACCAGGCAGAGTGTGTCTGGATGTAGCCCTTCACTGGCTCGCTGCAAAACAGAGAAAAGGGATGCTGAGCAGAGAGCACAAAGAAGCCAATCAGTTCACAGCCTGCTGCTCAATTAAACGGGGCCACTCATACAGGGGTATGCAAAAAACAAACCCACAGCTGATCCTACGTGCCAGACCGACCGACTGGAAAGAAATTCAACCTGTCAGGTCAGAAACATGGCCCTGCTGTTAGCAGCAGCCAGGCTGCCCAGGGAACCTCGCTGCCTTCTCCAGATGGGATTAAGGAGCTCGGGCTGACAGTGATTCATTATTTATTCCGGAGGCAACGTGAGCTGCACATGCCCAAAGCACCCAGTCACCCGAGCTGGAGACAGCCACTGCTGGAGCGTGGGCCACCCACTGCTGCCAGGACAGGTCACCCAGCCCTGCAGCCCAGGCAGGCTGGGATCTGATGGCCTTGATAACTGCCAAAGGCCTCTGGGCTGGGGACAGCACTCAGACTGGACAATGCACCATCCAGAGGACATGTGAGATACGTAGCAGAAGTACTGAAGGACCTCTCAGAGTTCTCTCAGTTTTAGTTGTAATACTGGAGCACATGGGGAAAACAATCAGATATCTGCATAACAGACAACACCCCCAAGCAACACATCATGCAGGAGCAGGTCACACACAGGACAAAGCAAACATCACTGCTACACCAGAGACCTACCAGAAGGTGAAGAAAGCCACAATAACAACCGTGACCAAGAGCTGGACCATCAGGATGGCATAAACCTGCAACGAGAGGCAGCCCACAGGTGACCCACAGACTCTCTGCTCCCACCCAGCCCGGGGAGCCAGCAGAGCCACTGCAGCCAGGTCCCTCCAAGGGCTCAGAGCTGGCCTCCTGCCTTCACAGGGGAGGGCCGAGCCCGGAGAGACTTGCCCCTTACCTTCCTGATGAACACTCTGCGCACGTTCCTGTCATCCCAGCTGAAGGTCGTGAGCATCTCCGTGTCCCCCGGGTACCCGCCGCTGCCATAGCTCGGGCTGGTGCCTGAGGCAGAGGCCAGACAGGTCAGCTCCTGTCGCCCACTTCCCTCCCCTGCTGCAGCAATCCCACCCCAGTGGCTGCCTGCCTGTTTCACGGTTTTCCTGCTGCACTGTAGAACAGAGGCTTGCTGGGATGCTCTCTGCTCCCTTCCCACTCCTGCACCTTATTGTGACCATCTGTGGGAACAGGGGGGGCCACTTCTGCAGACTCCAGCACAACAAGGACACCGGGGTTAATTCCCATCTCTGGTAACACAATAACTTTAATGGCAATTAGAGGACTCGTATCACATCCTTGCTCACCTTTCACTGACTGTTAAAGCATCCCCCCGAGGAGCTGTGACTCAGCACCTCGCTCACTCCCTCCAGCAGCTCTGGGGCAGGAGTTCCTCCCTGCTCTGCAGCCGCCCGAGCTCCGGCTCTCTGCACCATGCCTCGAGTCAGCAGCGTGCCCTCTCCTCCCAGAGAAGCTCCTTGCAGCCAGCTTCTCCACAGGGTCCAGCCCTGAACCCGAGTTCCATGCAGGGAGTCAGAGACAGCTCAGCAGCAAACCTGAACAAGGGGGAAACGACCCCAGTGCTACTGCCGAGTGCCCACCCAGGAGCCAGCACAGCACACAGCTCTGCTTGCCCAGGGCTGGGCAACACCAGCTCTCCTTACTGGAGCTTCCCTGCAGATGGGCAAGGAGGAAGTATCAGTTTGCTCTGAAGGGAGATGGGGGAACCACCAGGAAACCTCTGCCTGCCGGGAAGGCGACTGTGCTGACGTCCAGGGGCGAGGGAGGCAGCGAGGACATCGTGGGGCAGGGGCTGCAAGGAGAAACCCAGAGCAGCAGCAGCTCCAGGCTAAGGTCAGCTGCTCAAGTTAGATAAAAGAATCATCCTTCTCCATCCTCTGAGCCACACGCTCGAGAAAAAAATAAAACAAATACTGAAACCTCAGTTGTCTCAGCACAACCCTCCCCTGAGCTTTTTGTTCTTCTGCAAATATCCCCTTCTGTGTCACTAACAGCTTCCCTGCCTGGCTTCTGTAGAACGAGGGCTTATACGATTACACCAGTGATGCATTCATGTCCCTGCCTGTTTGACAGATGCCTCCCCTCCTTCTCAAGGCCTTTTAGCCTAGTGATACTCAGAGCCTTCAGGCAGGTGGAGGAAAGACCCTCTCAAACTCAAATGACATGCTGCAGATGCCAGGAAAGCCCAACTCAATCCTGCTCCTGGATTTCTTCTGTTTAAGTGGTCAGAGGTTTTTTGCTCTTGCTGCAGAAGCCTCATCCTAAAGATGGCCCTCCAGGAAACAAATCCCTTGTGCACTCTTGTGTCTAATAGATCCCTCGGTGCCACCTTCTACACTCGAGTGGAGATGGAACTCCTGCAGTGTGTCCTCCCTGCATTTCTGTGAGATCTGTCATCGCTCGCTGGGGACAGAGAGCACGGGGACACTTCAGTGCCTCTTGCATCAAAGCAATCAAGGCATCCGAACAGCAAATTAGGCACCCAAATGCCTCGGAGGAATGGAGGGGTTTCCTCCTTCACGGGTAGTGTCCCCAGCACCCGTCACCTCCCGCCCACGGCCACATCTGAGGCAGCAGATCAGCCAGAGCACCCCAGAGCACACGCCAGCTCCCTCCCGTCTCATCGCAGCTGCTGGGCACAGCCCCACAGCACACGTCCCCAGAGCCTGGTCCAGGAGCCACAGCTCACAGCACGGCCCTGGGCAGGGAAAGGGGAGGATGTGAAATCAGAGGGAAACACCAGCAGGGACCAGGGCACGGGACCCAGCCACAGGGAGGAATTCAGGAAGTCCTGCCAGGGAGGGGACAAGAAGTGACACATCCCCTAAGCATTCCTCCAGGATACCCAAAATACCAGCATCCTAACCCATCCTTTAGCCATCCCCATCTGTCAGTGGCCAAGGGGAGCAGCTCTGCAGCCAGCAAAACAACAACAACAAAAAAGAGTTTACAACCTTTGCCAGAAGGGCCAGGAGTCATTGAGTCCAGCCTGCCCAGCAGTCTCTCCAGCTCCAGCTGTGCTGAGCGAGCAGTTGGCCACCCCAGCAGACCTGCTTGCTGGCCACTGCACCCACCCCAGCTTGCTGCTGCGGGGCCATTCCCCTGCGCCGGGCACAGTGGAGCCCTTGTCTGCCTGGCAGCAGCAGGCAGGAGCCCCCGTGGCTCTGGGGCAGGAGAAGCTCTTTGTTCAGCGAGCAGCCGGCCGCAGCCCCACGCCGAGCGGTGCAGCCCTCGAGCCCAGCCACATTTCAGCCTCCTCTGCCCTGCCCAGCAGCCAGACCCTGCTGGGACACCTATTCTGCCAGCTCAGTGGCTCCTCTGAAAGCCAGAGCTGAGCAGGAGCCAGGGGGGTGCTGCTGGCAGAGCTGGGAGCATGGCACCAGGACTCCCCCCAGCCCTGGGACGTGGCACTGCCCAGGGCAGCGAGCTGGGAGAGGGGGTTTTTCTATCCCAGTCCCAGGAAGGATAGCAGGGACAGAGCACTGGAGTTCAGTCCCAGCTCTGGAAGACAGTGAGGTCTAGTGGGCAGGTGAAATCCCCTTTATGTATAGATACAGATTTATGTGGCTCTAGGGTGAGCTTGACCATGGACCCAACTGGGCACCAAATCCCTGGTTCCCCTTCTCTCTACGAGCCTGTAGGAGGAATCTCTGCACCCCTCTGCCTCCTCTGCCAGGGGCTCACCCTGGGTACAGCCTCAGAAGGACTTACTGGGGTCGACATAAGCCCAGCTGGGGTGGAGTGGGACCGATGGGGGAGGAGGGTAAGCACCAGACTTCATCCCTTCTCCTGCTGTCGCTTCCTCATAGGTCGGAGGAGCTGGTGGAGCTGTGGCATTGTCCTTCTTCTCCCCTTGCCCCTCGGAGTTGGGGGGTTTGTTGTTCACAGAGAGCTGCATGGAAAAAGAGATGGTGGGAACAGAGATTAGAAAACAGCATAAAATACTGCCCTGCACTGGGAACCAGGCAGAGCTCTGGGGGTGCCTCCACTGGAGAGAGGGATCAGGAACTGGAAGGACACCCAGCAGCTCCTGGGGGCTGGCCATGGAGCCATCCTTGCCCCCCCGGGATGAAGCATCCTCTGATGCGATTGAAGAGAGAAACAGAAAAACACTCCACATGTCAGAGGGAATGAAAAAATCTGAGCCAGCCAGGTCTGAGGGGAGCCACAGCCTTGCCCAGGGTCCTCTGTGCTCATACATAACACTGGAAAGCATCCAAATAATCCTCTGCTTCTAAGGGGAAATTCAGAAAGACATAGGCTGAAAAAAGAGCTTCCAGTTACTGGGCAGAAAATCCTGCACTCCCTCATTTCCACTTCCACCTGCCTTTTGGGAGCTTCTCCCAGGAAGTGCTCTAGTTCAGCCCTCCAACGTTTTCTTTTAGCTCATTCCTCTCTACCCTGATGCTCAGCCCTGCTGCTTTCCAAAATTTGGATGTGCAGCCAAGGAACCAGGGATCCCATGTCTTCAGACTATGAAATGCCAGCAAAGAACCAGCCTCAGGTCACCTGAGAACTTGCTTCTCCTTGGGAACATTATCCATTTAACCTTCTAGATCTTTGCCATCCTGGGGTCAGTCCTGAGCCTGGTATCCTGCCCTTGCTGCCAAAGGGGGTGCCAGCTCAGCATCAGGGGTAGCATCCCCAGGGAGCTCAGGGATGTGTGGCTGGAACCACAGAAGTCCAAAACGAAGCAGACAGACTAACTGGCACTGCAGCAGACAGCACAGCCCTGAGAGAAGAGCTTCAGTTAGGCCTCTGAAAATAAAGCCAGGATACCAGGCTGGGATGTGCACCACGAGCAGATCCAGCTGCACTGGATATCTGTGCCACCTCCTCTGCCAGCTCGTAGGGACTGTCCTCACCCTGTTCTTCCTTACGTAGCCCTCGGGTGGCCAATATCCTGCAAAATCACCGGAGATACCCAAGGAGACACGAGGGACAGCGCTGCCTGCATCCAGGCAGCCTCCAGCATCGTCGTCATGGCAATGGTGCACTGTGCTGGCAGAGGATGGGTAGAACTCGCCCTTCCTGGTCTCAGAGTACTGGAAAACCCCAAAAATCCAGCGCCGCCTGCACCAGGAAGGTGCTCAGGGCAGGTGCCGGGGG